GAGCCCCTGCTAAAGGGTCAGTGGGATGGCTCCCGTGCCCATTCCGGTTCACATTTCAAGATGGAATTCCCAGATCCAGATGTGACCCAAGGGTGAGCCAGCTTGGTATGTGGGGCGGGCGGGCTCCAGCCGCCTTGCGTGGAGGAGGAAAGGTCATCTAAGCAAATATAGGCTCTGGTTTCGTGTACTCCTCTAGCTCTTTCACCATTTCCTTGAAAACAGACGGCCTTCTCTCGAATGATGATGCATTCATTCCCTCCAACTTCCTGGATCTAAACTTTAGCTGAAATCTTAACCTCAGAGCTCTCCGACCCACACACAGAGAGAGAGAGAGAGAGATCCAGAGCTCTCCGACCCACATAGAGAGAGAGAGAGAGAGAGAGAGATTCAAATACAGTATGGAGTCCGGCATCCTTTACCTCTGGACACAGGGGAGGCCTCTGGCTGACCGTTCTTGGAGGATCGGTGGGGGTGGGGGCTAAAGAGATCAGCTGGGGTCTCCTGCCTTTGCGCAGGAGCTTCAAAACAAAGGCCCTCTGCCAATCACCACTTTCCTTCTTTTTTCAATACCCGTGTCTTTGAGCCCAGGAGGGGCAACAAGAGTTATCTTCGAAGGGCAGAGCGGGAAGGCCCGGTGGGGGATTCGAACTCCCAACCTCCGGTTCCACAGTCTTGAGACTTGAAACCCCTGAACTCTCCAGTCCAGGCGGCCTTTCCCTTTGCCCCAGAGAACAAACCAGATTTCACTTGGACGGAATCAAGAGAGGGCTCCCGGGATCCTTGCTAAGGACCACTTCTACCCGCATGGAGGTGCAGAGGTTCATGGGCTCAACTCCCAGGCTACTTAAAGCGATCCTCCCATACAAATTGGCCACCCTCTCCCCCAAAACAACCAGCAGCACCTATAGACTTGCCGAGCTATGGAGGAACCGGCATGCTTTGCTGAGGTGGCCGTTCCTGGAAGGAACAGCGAGGGTCACTTCAGGGCCGGCGACCGTGGGCTCAGGAGGCTGGAGACCACCCACTGAAAAGTGGCTTCTGATGGCTGGGGTGATCAGAATCCAATTTCACTTTCGCCTTGCAGGCCTTTTGAGATGTGTCAATAGCGCCCGGGCCAAATAAGGGGTCCATTGGCAACCAGAGTGAAAAAGGGACCTCTGTTGACATCCCCCCACCCTCTGTAATTCAATCAAATCCACCCTGGCAGGAAGAGTTGGCCCCATGGGGCTTTTTCTTAGGGCCAATCAAGCCTAGGCCGCAAGGAAAGCACCCTGCCTGAAACACACCATGTTTTGGTGTCATCCACACTGGGGTAAATGGACCAGAGGCTGAACTCGGTATAAACCGCCTTCCCATCCAACGGGAACCATCGGTAGGGATTCTGCAAATCCCTGTTGCCCACAAAAAGCATCCCTCGCCCCCTCGACCTCCTCTCAGAAACTGACCCCCAACACTGTTCAACAAGTAGTTTGGCTAAAACTTTTTGGTGCAGCATCTGAAGAGGGAAGAGGGGGGCAGAGGCTGAAGCTGCAAGGGCAGACAAATCGCTTTAGGGCGCTGTGTCAACGTCCCCATGCAAGGCCTGGACGGGTCACCTCTCTGCCCGTCTCCATTCTGGGCTAGCCATGCTGGAAGGCCAAAGAGGAAGGAGGGGAGAGGATCTGGTAACAACCGGGACGCCCGCCGGCCTGGCGGGACCAACCTCCAGCGACCGCCCACTACTGAAATGATCTGGAAGGAAATGAAAGGCTTCAGATCCTTAGAAATCTGTGTCGGGAAATGCTTCCAACCCGCGATCCGCCCTCACCCTCAGCCAATGTGTTAGCTCCTCTGGGTAGGGAACCACTGCATATTTCCTCTCCTGCCTAAAGCAAACAGATTCTTAACTGTTTCTGCCTAGAGAGTGCCGGGAGGGCAAAGGCGGGCTTCCTCTCCTGGTGGGGTTTCCCACCGCCCCCACCCCCCCAGCCCTATTTTGGTATAATCAACCCCTTAAGAGGAGGTTCCTTCTTTAAAACGGAATGTCTGGGGTGGGGAAAATCTCAAGCCACGTCGCACTGTCCCTGACTTGACAGGAGCGGCTCAGCTTGGCAGCGCCCCCCAAAAATGTATAGCTTGCAAGATCTGGAGCCACTTGAAAGGGTTTGCTTTGGCCCAGATCCGGCGGCTTCGCAGTGGGGGGGGCGAGGGTGGGTCAGCGCTCTTCTGATGAAGACACAACACCACAGAAGCAACACCCAGAGGAACAAATTCTTGAGGGGCCAGCAGACAGAAAGGGGCTTACTGTATCTGGTGGCAATGGGGTGCACAGACCCCTAAGCCCCCCAACCCCACTCGGGGCATGTGCAAAGAAGAGGGAGGGGAGAGAGGACAGTGCTCTTCAAGAAAGGCAGTCCTACAGAGGAGAGGAGCAGGATCTGTCCTTCATCCTCCCAGAGACGGCAGGACGTGCAACAATGGGCTCAAGCAACAAGAAGCCAGTTTTCGGCTGAATCTTAAGGGGGGGGGGAAACCTTCCTAACTGTTAGAGGAGTATGACCGCCAGGACCCCTCTGGGGGAAGTAGTGAGCACTCCGATGCTGGAGAAAACGGGAACCCCACCACCACTCTTGTCAGATCTGCTTGGGATTGGATTCCTGCCTTGACCAGGGGGGTGGACTGGATGGCCTTTGAGACCCCCCCTCTTTCCAACTCCGTGATCCTAGGAGACACACTGCGTGCACACTGCTAGGGGTCATGATTTTAGTCCAAATTCCCAGCCCTGGTGCATGCTTCTCAAGAAGGAAAACCCTTTTCCCTCCTCAAGGACTCTGATCACAGGTGGGCAGATAGTCACGCCCGCTTTAGGGGCTCCGGGCCCCCTTTTCAAGCGCCCGGGGTTTACATCCTAGAGGCATTCCCCCTACGACAGCTCCTACTGGGGATCTGGAGAGACCAAACAAAATGTCCGCGTCAGTGACTAACAAACTTAAAAATAGCACAGACGTTTGCAAACTGCAGCCCACCAAGGCCCCGAACAGCATCTGGAATCCCAGGCAGAGCATATGGAGGTGTGGGGGGTGGTTTGCAAGGTGGGAGAACAGACAGCCCCATCCAGGGAAATTAAGGCACCACCTAATGAGCAGCTGCCTCTGTGGCATTAAGGTGGGTGACGCCAAAACGGGCACCAAAAATACACAATGTTATGGATACGGATGCTTATGGGATGGAAGGGATGTGGACAAGGCTTTGGGTCCAAGTCCCGAGTGTGAATCTTTGGTCCCAAGTCTTTGGCATTGAGTCCCGAGTCCCTATTAAAAATAAGCTTTTTCCCCACCCCCACCCCGGAAAAAGGACAGGCTTCACAGGTTCCAAGTCCCGTAGAGTCTGACTCATTGAAAAATATACACATGCACACCTGGATTCCCTGCATCAGAGGCAACCAGGCCTCAGCCCCTTAAAGGTCACCCTGTTAATAAATGTGTTAACCTTCGAGGTGTGGCGGGAATTGTTTGCAAAACAAACGCTGCTCTCCCCCAGACTTGGAAAGCCCAAAAATGGCCGCCCTCCCTCAGCTCCTCGAGCCTCAATTCAGAGGGGATAAAAATCAATTTTTAAAAAAATCAACTTAAATCATGATTTAATTTTTTTTAAAAAAATCATTTTTTTACTTACATGGCCAAAAAAAAAAATCCCATTTAAAAAATTGAAATAGGAGACTTAAAGCCCTTTCAAAAATACACCCTGCCACAACGACATTCTTAAGCGTACCTTTCCGCCTCCCAGAGCGGGAACAGCCAAGGCACCAAACACAAGACAGGGACAGGAGGGGTCTGTGGCGTAGGCGTCGGTGGTCTCGTGCCGCGGCTCCCAATCTCGGGCCGGCCAAATATAGCTCGATATGAACGCTCGGGAGCCCTGCAATGTTCAAGGGTTCTGGAAGTTCTAGTTTATTGGAACCTCAGGGGCAGAACATCCTAATCTAAAGGTCTGCTTTTTGCTGGAGGCAAGAAGGGGGGGTGCCTTTTC